CACCTGATAGCTTCGACAGATTAGTGACATGGTCAAGGGACGGTCGGGTGTACTTCTCTCTGGAGGCATTTTTTTTCAATATTTTTGTTTTCTGTTTTGATAATTTGATTGTGATATGTCCTTGTGAGTTCCTCTTTGGATTGAATTTATGATTTATCCCCTGGCTCTCTGTACCTAAAGGTTGTCATATTTTCCCATGTATGGAGAACTTAAAGCCTTATTTGTTTAAATATGCTTTCTGCATCTTTTTATTTTTTTCCTTCATAAAGTTCTGTCAACTTTAGATTTGATCTTCTACAGGAACCTCATATTGTCATTGACCTTCATTTTTTAAATTTTACTCTTTTTTCATTTATTTATTTATTTATTTACTTACCTATTTTCATCTTGACCACAGTTTCTCCTCCCTCCTCTCCTCCAAGATCCTCCCCAACACCTCTCCTCTGCCTCCCTCATTCTCTCCTCCTCAATTTCTACTCAGAAAAGGGCAGGCCTCCTATGGATAGCTACAAAACATGGCATATCAAGTTATAGCAAGACTAAGCACCTTGCCTTATGTTAAGGCTGGGCAAGGCAACCAGTATAAAGACTAGCATCCCCAAAGCCAATAAGAGTCAGAGACAGCCACTGCTTCCACTGTTAGGAATCCCACTTGACTACATCATGTCTAATGGACCTTCAGACTCATTGATTCTTTTTTTCTGCTTCGTCAGTTCCAGTGCCAAGGATTTCCTGTTGGAATTATTTAGAACTCTTTGTCAGTCATTTCATAGGCATCCGTGTTTGCAGAGCTCATTCTTGGAACATAGTTTATTTTGCTTTTTTCACTAGTGTTTCAAAACCTTTGTATGCCTCGTGTTTGAGGAAGTGATCACCCCTTACAGCAATTTCTGCTATTCTTGGGAGTGGTAGAACCTTCCTCTGTAGTTTAGCATGGACTTATGATTACACTGGTTTGCAGTGAGCACAGAGACAGTCCTTATTAGACCAAGGTGTAGTTGGGAAAGCCCGTTAACGGTGTTCTGAACCGTGAGATTGCTGGCTGTGCTACACAGCGTGGTACAACCCTGAGCTAGATTCTGCAGAAGGAAAGAATAGCTGACTGAGTGCCATGGTTTTTTCTCATCAGAAGATGCTACAGATTGCTGATTTTTGTAGCTGGGCAGGGCCACATATTAGATTCTCAGACTGAGATCTCTATGGTCACTATTCGGTCACTTAGGGTGGACAGCGCTAGGACAGCATTCCACAGGACATGCATGAGTGTGTGTTTGCCTTCTGACCTTTGGTATCCTTAACACAGAACACTGAGACTTTATGAATTAGCCAGTTGGCCACTAAGTCTTAGAAGGGCTGCATTCTCCTCCATGGTTAGTCACCTACCTGTCCCTGTCTTACAATCTGAGAAGTGTTAGAGTGTACTGAAGGATGGCCATATAGAAGCTTAGATGCTAGAAATAGGTAGAACCAAATCTTTCCTTTGGAGATTGATCACCAGATTGGCAAGGGGACTTTCAAGGAGAACAGCAGGACTAGATAGAAAAGCCCAGGCAGAGACTCAAGTCTGGGAGATTTGGCTGTCTTCGCATGATGATACTGTTGGCCAGCCTCTGTGGTGATACAATCCAGTGGTAGTAATACATAGTTAGCCTCTGAGCTCACCACAGCGTGAACCTCACCCTTGTTATCTGTTCATATGTAGTCCATTCTGCCAATAACTCCAGTGTTTTTCCTTGAAGGAGACAAGAAATCACCTCTTGTAAAGGGTTCTTAAGTGTTGGCGAAGCTGGAGAATTCCTAATCTGCCACTGTACTCCAATATTAAATCTGCATGTCTCTTCAGAGGCAGTGTTAGCATTATTTCCATATTACTTATAACAAATTGTGAGTGACCAACAATTATATGAAAGCTATAGCTGTAGAATATTTTAGAAATGGAAGAACAAAAATAAAATCTTGAGGTGACACTAGTGGATAGCTCAGTTGTAACTTTCTGCTTTCTTTGAGGAGAACTAAAATGATTCTCTTTATGTATTTAAATATTCAGTTGTTAGATATTGTCAATTATTTGGGTATTATTCTCTTTGACTTTACTGAAACATAATAATTGAAAAAATTAGAAAGACTGTTTTGTGGCTTCTAAAAAAATAGATCGGTCCCTAAGTAAAGGACAGCAGTGAGTTTGTGCTTTCAAAATCAAATAACTGGAAAACAAGATTTTATGTGATAAGGACATTAAAAATTAAGCCAGAACCAGAGAAAATGGGACAGATTTCTTTGCCTTTTTTCTGTTCTTGAGTGGCTTGCTAGACTTTTAAAATGTGAGTAGTTCCCATTAACTTTCCTATCCAACCTTTCTTACACTATTTTGAAGAAGTTAATGAAATGAACCTAAGACCTTGCTTCTAAAGACACTATACCCTTCAGAGACAAGAGGCTGGAACTGACCAAGACGCTTTCTCTCTGAGCATTAGAGCTCATAGTTTTAGAAATTGCTGTGCAGTCAAAGCTGAAAATCAAAGAAGAGTCCTACTCAGAGGAGACACCTATCAACCACAAAAATGGCTGGTCACAAACAAATCCCTCAGTGATGCAAAGGTGGCACTTTTATCTTGGGGATAACCAACAGCTGTCTAATTGGACCTCAGGTGAAGTGGTCCCTTCAGGTGTCAGACAGGGACATTAACACCTCAAAGAGATTAGAATCAAAATCTGGTGCAGATACTTTGTCAACCTGAGTCAGACTTTGGGGAGTCTAATGCCAGGCAGTCCATTGACAGCATACTTCAAACAGTATGGTTTGAGAAAAGGTTTTCAGGCAACAAACAATCCAGTTCCAGGTGCACAATAAAGCTGGATGTGTGACTACCTAGAAATTCTTTTACAAGTACATGTGATCATGAGGGTGCATTCTATAATGAAAATGCCTAGAGTTTAGTGTGTTTTTTGACCAATAGCATAGATCATTAGGACGTAAAATATCTGTGATGTCTTCTTGAAGGATGGGTACTAGTCTAGAGAGGGAAGAGTCTGGGATAATTATTTGGGAATTTGGGTGAGGTCTGCCTCCACAGATAGCAAAAAGATCACTGGGTCATTAACACAATCCACTCTCAGCTCTCTGGATGGAATTCAGTTATTTGATTTTTATCTCCTCCATTGACACCCCTGTATGATTGACATTCCTGGTTCTCTCAGTGCTTCTCTGTGAGTGCTAGGACCTCTGTGCCCCCAACACTAAGACCCATTCAATGAAAGAGAATCCTCGCCTGGCATTTATTGTAAACCCAGCCAACTACTTGTGATCACCATCCGCCAGAGAACTTTTTCCTATCATTTTCCTAAACCAATATGCTTTCTAACTTGTAGGGTCCAGTTCAACATATTAGTCCATGCTGCTGTATATATGCTTGTTAATTGTTTATAATGGTGTTGGCCAAATGTGATGTTACATATTAATTATGTGGACATTATAGTCACTATTGATATTGAATATTAAAGTTTTCTGTTATTATTATATTTCTGCCTATTTCCCCTTTCAAACTCATTAATTTTTTCAGATACCTGGGTATTCTGAAATTCAGTGCACTTGGATTCAAAACTGTCTATCTTCCTGATTAATTATACTTTTAACACTACATGAAAACATTTGCCTGGAATTATTTGACTACACACACAGACATAGACACTCCCCCCCACACAAACACACACAGACACACACAGACACACTTTATCTAATGTAAGTATTTCCATAAGAGGGAAATCATAGGTATAAAGAACAACAAATAATAATTACAATTATGCTTCCACAAAACAGGGAATGACTAGAACCAGAAAGAAGTTTGAAACTAACTGTTCCTTAGTAAATTCAGAGAACATGTGTTCCTGAAGAGAGCATTCCTTGCCCCACCCCCTCAGAGACGTCATGAAATAAATTTATAAAGTTAGGTCATTTACTTTGTGTTCCCTTGTTATAGCACCCATATCAGAGACAGAGATTACAAATCCTGAAGCCAAATGTAGTCTCCTTTAAAGAGTTATGTTGAAACTTTGGAAAAGTGAGAAAGTTGATGAGGTAAATGATGCAGAGATGGGCAGACTAAGAACATGGAAGTTAAAAACAGACATAGGGGACAGCAAACTTGCAGATGTTACCAACCTCATGTTATCTCACTATGGATGCTCAAAGACCAAACAGCTTCCATGGTTTACTAGAGCCAACTGTTAAATACACTTTCCTCTGGTATTTAGAAAACAGCCAAAATAGTCAGCGTAACTGAAATTTGTTTGCTCAATATTTTTATTTACTATTTCTCATCTTCTAATTCTTTTTCGGCCTATTTTGATAGTTGAGAACTTAACATAATGGATAAAGCATATTTATGTGCTGTTGGAAAATGTGTCTTAATCATTCATTGACCTGAAGAAAAGGACAGATGATTATTAATGACTAGATTACTTTGAATTTTTTGACCGGGTTTCTTTGTAGTTTTGGAGCCTGTCCTGGAACTAGCTCTTGTAGACCAGGCTGGCCTTGACCTCACGGAGATCTGCCTGCTTCTGCCTCCTGAGTGCTGGGATTAAAGGAGTGTGATACTACTACCCAACTCACTTAACAAAATTTTAAGATGGATTTGAATTTTTCTCTGGAACCTAAAGTTCTTCAAGTTCTCCATGATATGGCTAAATGTTGAGGAAATATCCTGGGACAGGGGTAGCTGTGTGAGAAAGGTTTCAGAAGGTTTAAGTACATGCTGTGTGTGAGGAGTGTGTGCACTGGGAGAACAGAAAGACCTAGTCATATTGGAAAGATACTAGAGCATAATAAATGTGGGAAAAGAAGCCAGATTTACTCACACTGAGGAGTAAGTAGTGATAAAATTTGGTTGAGATTGTGGAAACACAGTGGGAAGGCCAACTCCCAGGATCTATAGAATAAAAGGTTCTTGTTGCTAAGCAACCGGATCTAGAACTTAACCCAATGAGAGACAAAGGAAGAAAGGATTTCTGTTCTCTTTGTCATGTGAGTTCTCAGAAATCATTGTTTATAAACTGATTCTTACAAATAAACCATGAATAGGTCCACACCAAGAAATCATCACCACATCTCTTGGTAAGTCTCTCAAGAGTAAAGGACAAGAAGCTCATAAATATACCCACAAATTTTGGGAATTCTTCAAATTTGGGGAAGATCTAGTGGCTCCTATTATTTCTTATTCCCCTCTCTTATTTGGAAAGGACAAACTGTTTTAATGTGCTGTCATTCATAGTTTATGAAATATTGAATTAGACCATAAACAATGGCAAGGCCTAGATGATGATTAGATACATGGACTGATAAGTTGAATGAAACTGAGAACAGGAGATGCTGGAGACAGGGATTAAAGTTCTGTACTAATATGGCTATTCAGGTTCTTTTAAATGATAGCTATCGTCACCATCATCATCATCATTGCCATAGTGTGTATGTGTTCATGTGGAGGAATGACTGAAGGGGGATGTGGGTGTATGTGGAAGTCAGAGAACAACTTGAAAGGATTGGTTCTCTCTACCATAGATTTCCAGGCTCGAATGCAGGATGTTAGGCTAGGCTGCAGACATTTGTAACCCTTGAGCCTTGTCTGCACACACTTTCAGTTGAAAATGTCACAATCCCTCAAACCTGTGGCTTCTCTAGTCATCATCTAAAATCCTGTAAGATGTGAGAAAACTGGCTCAACTTTCAAGTTTCTTTCCCAGTGACCTGTTGGCAAGCTGAGGTCTTAGTAATGAATCCTGATAATTTTGTGCAGTTAAGTTTATTAACAACATTATTGATAAATCATCAGCCTTTCCATCACAAAAATATTAACTCTATGATCATAACCAAACATACACATATATTTGTTATTATTATACACAAACATATATCAAGATAGATGTAAATAGAGCATCTGCATGTCAGAATTTTACTTACAGTGTCTACCTATTATCCTCAATTATTCCTTTTACTGATTTTCCTTTCTTTGTGGGATTTTGGGCATTTCATAAAGACAGCCTCCTCTTTATTCTACTTAATTGCTTTCCCCAAGCCCTGAAGACATCCATTACTTTTGCAAGTTCTTCCTAAAACAAATCTGTTACTGATGTGCAATGACAAACCAAAGACTTGGGGAATATCCTACCATGAGATTAAGGAGTATTAAATGAAATATTATTTGTTTTGCTGTTTAAAACACTACAATGTAAATTCAGCAATAACACTTTAAAATATTGATTTTTTAAAAAATTTTCAAAGATTTTCAAACAGGAGTTCTTCACATTGCTGAGAAAATGTGCAAAACTAGAAAAGTAAGAAATACTGTGAACAGCAAATCAGAAGTTGTTAATATGAGACTATTTGGGGAAAATCTTCCATCATGACTTTAAGCTGTCGACTGAAATGAGTTTGGCTCTCACTTGAATTGTGCGTTTCCATGTCTTCCCCAACTCTTTCAATGGATTCTGTGATTAATCTTCCCAGAAATATTGTCAGCTTATTTAATAGGAGTGTTAAAAGCTGGAAAACAAATGAAGCTACATGAGTTGAATGATTTGATCAATGGTTGTTAAACTGTTGGAGTCTTTAATTTGTATGGGAACCGCAGGAATAATGATGAGAACTCGCAACATGGTCAAGGAGAGAGATCGTTATTGTATACCTCCCTGAATAGGAGAATAAGCTTTAATTAAATGTGGCTAGAGTGGTAGAAGGTCATAATATCATACAGAGCATAAGTCTATCACTAACGGTTTTTGAGAAGGAGTTGCAAGAATAAATTAAGCAGTAGGTGCTGGGGGTGTTCTTCACATACTTGCTAAGGACAGTGAACGCTCGGAGAAAGGTGAAGAGAGTAGTGGACCTAATGGTGGGAAGAGAGGGTCAACTCCTACAGTTGTCCTCTGACATCGGTGGGTTACGCACACAAGGTTTGTGCCACTTTTGTCCTAGGATATTTTGCCGACAGGACTGATTATAGATCGAAGGTTCTGTGGTTGAGTTGGTGTTTACTTTTCTTTCGATAGCATGCAGAGTACCTTTCCATGCCATATACACGAGAAAATGAAGGTGAAGGTTCTATGCAGGCGCCAGCTCGACTTCTCCATGTTCTGCACAACGAGCTGTGTAGATATCTTCAGCGGTGACCACTGACCATCAGTTTGTAGAGAACAACCTATCAGATGAACAATTCTTAGTCTTGTCACTTAATGATTCCATAAAACCTGTGGGTATTTTCAGTTGTCAATAAAAATGGGTGACTTCTATGTGCAGTGTTCAATGCATAATGATAGAGACTTGAATACACCTTTCTCCCACAAATGTGCACACAGTGCACACTGTGGTTAAGATTATTGTTCCAGTCACCTACACTGATCATTAAGGCCCATATCATCCATTTATATTTCCCAAACATGTATTGTACTATCTACATTTTATGTAAATAACCAACATGTTTTCATGATATACAAACAACTTGTTGTTTTTGGAAGCCAAACACTCTGCTGTTACAGGATTTTCATTATTAGAATTGCTGAGGCAAATTTTTCAATATTCTTATTTGAGATAGGTACAGGCATTTAAAAACTTAACAGATAAATTTATTTGAGGATTGATTTTTAACAATTCTTAACTTTTAATCCAGAAATTTGGGTTTTTTTTTTTAATCTACAGGACCAAATTTCCTTCCTGAATCTTTTATTTTTTCTCGGGTTCCTTGATTTTCTTTTAGTATTTTTTTTTCAATTAGGAAACTCCAAATTCATTTTAATTCTTTTTCATTTTATATGACAAGGGGACTTTACAATGTACTCCTTTTGAATCCCTCAGACTCATTCCTAACACTAGGACAGATCACCAGCAGTAGCTTCTCTCAACCCCCTCCTGTGGATCAAAAGGCATCACCTCCTAACCTCCCTCCCCTGACTTTTTTATATCAGCTTCCATCACCAAGAGGCATTCCCTGTAAACACACCGCTAAATAGTCCACTAAAATAGGCAATACACAGCCATTACACCCTGAAAATCCAGAGGAGAAACTGAAATCAAGGAACAAAACACCCACTCAACAAAGACAAACCCAGAAATCAACACCTCGACCTCCAGTCATCCCAAATTCAGATGCCTAGACACCAGCATAAGAACTCAATCAATAACAGTTAGGCCAACATGTTTCCACTGGATCACAGCTATCCCACCACAACAGACCTTGAATATTCAAACATAGCTTAAGTACAAGAAAGAGAACTATATGAGAAGATAGAGGCCCTTAAAATGAATAAATCCCTTAAACAAATCCAGGAAAACACAAAGTTAGATCAAATTAAATCCCTTAAATAAAGCAAAGAAAATACAAATAGTTGAAAGAAGTGAATAAAATGGTTAAAGATCTGAAAATGAAATAGAAGCAATAAAGAAAACACAAATGGTGGGGGTTCTGGAAATGAAAAATTTAGGAATTCAAACATGAACTACAGAGATCAGCTTCAGTGAGAGAATACAAAAGATAGAAGAGAGAATCATTGTATTGACGATATGGTAGAAGAAATGGGTACATCAGTCAAAGAAAATGTTAAATCTAAAAAATTCCCGACACGAGCCGGGTGGTGGTGGTGCACACCTTTAATCCCAGTACTCAGGAGGCAGACACAGGTGGATCTCTGTGAGTTTGAGGCCAACCTGGTCTACAAGAGCTAGTTCTAGGAAAGGCTCCAGAACTACTGAGAAACCCTGTCTCGAAAAACAAAACAAACAAAAAACAAACAAACAAAAAATTCCTGACACAAATGAAATCTTGGATACCAGCAAAAGACCAAACTTATGAATAATAGAAATAGAGGAAGGAGAAGAATGACAGCTCAAAGGTCCACAAAATACTTACAGCAAAATCACAGAAAAAAATCCCAACTTAAAGAAGGAGATGCCTAAAAAGGTATAGAAAGCATAGAGAGTGACAAACAGATTGAACTGGAAGAAGAAGTCTCCTTACCACATAATAAAACACTACACGTCAAGAACAAAGAAAAAATATTAGAAGCTGCAAGGGGAAAAGGAACAAATAACAAGTAAAAGCAAACCTGATAGAATTATACCTGATGTCTCAAAGGAGATGCTAAAGGCCAGGTGGCCTAAGAAGATCTGTTGCGATTCTAAGAGAGCACAGGTGTCAGCTATACTATACACATATACATATACTATACACATATACATATACTATACACATATACATATACTATACACATATACTATACACATATACATATACTATACACATATACTATACACAGAGTAAAACTTGCGCTTACCATAATCTTTTCCGGTAAGTCACGACCTTGTGGTGACATACAGATTATTATAAATGGGTTAAACTAATATGTGAGAGTCAGCCAATAAGGGGCTAGAGATAATGGGCCAGGCAGTGTTTAGATGAATACAATTTTTGTGTGATTATTTTGGGTGTAGGAACCTGGAATGGGGGAAGCTACCAACATAATTCTTTACAGATTTTGGTGGGAGAATTTTCAACTTCATATAGAAAAGCAACAACAATAACAATAAAAACTCAAGATAGCTAAAACAATCTTGAACAATACAAACTGCTGGAGGCCTTCCCCATTCCTGATTTCTAGCTATGTGACATGGGTATAGTAATAAAAACAGCAAGGTATTGACAGAAAAACAAACACATTGAACAATGGAATTGAACAGAAGACCCAGACATAAATCCAAGCAACTATAGACATCTGATTTTTGATAAAGAACAAAGAAATACAAGAAAAAAGACAGTAACTTCAACAAATGGTGATGGTCAAACAGGATGTCTGTATGTAGAAGAGCACAAATAGATCCATATTTATTACCCTGCACAAGTTCAAGTGGTCAAAGACCTCATCATAAAACCAGATACACTGAACATCACAGAAAAGAAGGTTGAGGAATAACCTTGAATGCCCTGGCACAGAAGATGACTTCCTGAACAGATCAATGATAGTGCAGGCAATTAATAAAAGGAACAATTAATAAACGGAACCTCAGGAAACTAGAAATGTTCTGTAAGTCAAAGGACACCATCAATTTGACAAAATGGCAGCCTATAGAATGGGGAAAGGACTTTTACCAACTCCATACAGAGGACTAATATCGAAAACATTTAAAGAATTCAAGAAACTAGATATAAAAACGTAAATTATTCAATTGATAAATGGAGTATGGATCCAAACAGAGAATTCTCCATACAGGAAGCGCAAATGGCTGAGAAACACAGAAATGCTCAACATCCTTAGCCATCAGGGAAATGTAAATCAAAGCTACTTTGAGATTCCATCTTCCACTTGTCAGAATAGCTAAGACAGAAAACACAGACGACAGCTGTTGCTGCCGAGGTTGTGGAACAAGGGGAGCACTTCTCCATTGCCTGCGGGAGCACAAACTTGTAAAGCCACCATGGAAATCAATATGAGGATTTCTCAGAAAATTGGGAATTGGTCTATGCCACAACCCAGATATACAACTCATGAGCATATCCCCAAAGGACATTCCATCCTACCACAAAGGCACTTGCTTGTTTCGCCACACTCACTGCCACTTTATTCGTGATAGCCAGAAACTGGAAACAACCAAGATGCCCCTAAATGGAAGCGTGGATACACAAAATGGGATACATTTGCACAATGGAGCATTACTCGGCTGTTAAAATATGAGCTCATAAAATTTTCAGGCAAACTGATGCAACTAGAAAAAAAGTCATCCTGAATGAGGTAACCCAGAAAGACAACTATGGTATGTATTCTCTTATATGTGGATATTATCTATTAAGGAAATGATAGTCAAACTGCAATCCACAGGCCCAGAGTGCTTAGGTAATTAGTGTGGCTCAAGGGGTTGGGGGAATGAGTGGGTCTCCCTGGGAAGAGGATGCTATAATCAGAATATATTATATAAGGAAATAACCTATTTTCAATAAATAATGTACTCCTTTCATAAGTATAATTAAATATAAATGCATATGAGAAGCAGACATCAAGCCAGAACACCTAATTTGATTATACTATTGTTTATTGATTCATCATATGGAGATATCCATTACAGACAATTCCACCTTTGATTCTGCAGTTTGACAGACCTGGCATCAGACAGAACAAGCAGGAATTGTTACATGGGAGTGCATGTTAAATACCATGCATTTAACATGGTAGAATATCTTTTATACAAGTCTGCTAAGAACTATGTGCAACCTATCATTAAAAATTGAAGAAACCATTGATATTCCTTGATTGACTATGTATAAATCAAAATTATCTCATTAAAGCAAGTGGCTATCTCACAATAGCCAATTGAAGCTTGTTTTTAGTAGTAATGTAAATATGGTCTCAAATGTGTATATATTTAGTGAATCCATGTGTATGTCATTAAGGTCCGAGATTATCAATCTGTGACCAACTGTGATCCTTCTGAACAACCAGAGTGTGACTGTACCTCATCAAAATTAAAGAGCAAATCAAATGCACAATATGAAGTCATGCTTTGGTCCAAATGTTAAGCCATATTTATATAAAACCTTCTACTCTAGTCAGTTCACAATGAAAGCCACTCTTTATCTATGCCTTCTTTTTCCTGTTTCATAAGGTTCTCCTGCCCTAATGGATCCAGTCTTCCAGAAGACAGAGTATTAAAGGTCAGTGCTGCATGAGATCAAGACAAAAGAAGGATCCAGGCAGCAGAACTACATCCCGCCCTCCTTTGCTCTCTCCAGTAGGACAAGGTGGCTATGAGTGAGGTTCCAGTACATGTAAGAATCGCTCTCCTGCAGGTATGGTTGAGGGTGCTGCTCTTTCCTTCTATATGGCCCCTGACTTGGTGTGCTGAATTCAACACTCTTCCAGAAGTAGTGATACCCTTGAGGGTAACCGTCTCTCGGAGAAACATGAATCTTGCCGGCTGGAAGTCCTATAGCCTACACTTCGGAGGCCAGAGACACATTATCTCCATGAAGCCCCAAAACTTTCTGGTATCCAGCCAGCTCTCTGTGTTCACCTACAGTGATCAAGGAGACCTCATTGAGGATCGGCCTTTTGTCCAGAAAGACTGCTATTATCTAGGTTTTGTGGAAGGAAAGCCAGAATCCGCGGTTGCTCTGACCACCTGTTTTGGGGGCTTACAAGGGACATTACAGATAAACGACACAGCTTATGAAATTAGACCCAAGAGCCCTTCTTCCACCTTTGAACATCTAGTTTATAAAACAGACAGTGAAAAAACTCAATTATGTTCCATGAGTTGTGCATTAACAGATGAAGAAACAGCAGGGCAAGTTAGACCTCGAGAGGATGAAGACTCCTCCGAAACACAAGTTGTCTATGGGGCATGGTGGACTCACAAATTGTATATTGAACTGGCGTTGGTTATAGACCATGAACAATTCCTTTATCGAGGTCGTAATACTTCTCTTGTGCTGCGAGATGTATTCATGGTTATGAATGGACTAAATTACTTCTTATTTCCAGTGGATATTAACGTGGCTTTACTTGGACTTGTAATCTGGAGTAAGGAAAACCCCATACCAGTGAAAGATATATATACTCTCTTGCCAGAATTTTGTAAGTGGAAGAGAGAACACCTTGATTCTTACCTACAACATGATATTGCACATCTCTTTGTGAATTATAATTTTAGTAACTATTTTGGCATAGCTTATGTTGGAACTATATGTAATAAGACATTTGGTTGTGGAGTTGAGAGTCTCTTGGGAGAAAATTTTTTTACCTTTGGGTGTATTGTGGCACATGAGATAGGTCATAATTTGGGCATGCCCCATGATGGGATATTTTGTACATGTGGAGGAGGACCATGTGTGATGTCTGCTACAACAAGATGTGACAGAAAATTCAGCAACTGTAGTTATGCTGCATTGTGGAAAAACACAGCCAAAGCAAGCTGTATGTACAATAAAGTCAACCTTTCGGATACCTATCCATTGAAGTTCTGTGGGAACGGGGTGATTGATGAAGGTGAGGAGTGTGACTGTGGACCCCCTGAATTGTGTGACTATAGTCTCTGTTGTCTGCCTGGCTGTACTCTCAGGCCTGGAGCTAGCTGTGATGCCGGGCTATGCTGCAGCTACCTATGCCAACTTCTGCCATCTGGCACTGTGTGTAGAATAAAGGAGAACGAATGTGACCTCCCAGAATGGTGCAATGGAACCTCACATGAGTGCCCAGAAGATGTGTTTTTACAGGATGGAAGCTCTTGCAGTGATGGTGGCTACTGCTATGAAAAAAGATGTAACAGCCATGACGAACAGTGCCGGAGACTTTTTGGCAAGGATGCCAGGAAAGCATCCGACAGTTGCTACCAGGAAGTCAACACTTATGGTGATCGTTTTGGTAACTGTGGAATAATAGACAATGTCTATGTGAAATGTAATAACTCAGATATCCTCTGCGGAAGAGTTCAGTGTAAAGAAGTGAAAATTCTTCCTATTTGGAGCAGCCATTATACTGTACATTGGACTCATTTCAAGGGTGTCTCCTGCTGGGGTACTGACTACCATTTTGGAATGAGCATCCCTGACCTTGGTGACATAAAAGATGGCACACACTGTGGTCCAGAGCATGTGTGCATGAACAGAAAGTGTGTCAATAAGTCGATCTGGGCAAGCGAGTGTTCACCAAAGACCTGCAACAGGAATGGAGTCTGCAATAATAAACATCATTGCCATTGTGATGATGGCTGGAGTCCACCATATTGCCTGCTAAAGGGCACTGGAGGGAGTATTGACAGCGGTCCATCTTCTGAAAGCAAAAATAAGGAGGAGGATAAAGAGAAAGACAAGGACAAAGACAAGGACAAAGACAAGGACAAGGAGATGGAGAGGAAGTCACAGAATGATAGCTTCATAAGTTGGATATTTCCTATTTCTTTTGCGGTTTTGCTTTTACTTTTATTTCTTTGGATTATCAAGGACTCTACACCACCACCTGAGAAAGAAGAGACTAAGCCATTACACGAGGAAGAAGAGACTAAACCATTACACGAGAAAGAAGAGACTAAACCATCACACGAGGAAGAAGAGACTAAACCATCACATGAGGAAGAAGAGACTAAACCATCACATGAGGAAGAAGAGACTAAACCATCACATGAGGAAGAAGAGACTAAACCATCACATGAGGAAGAAGAGACTAAATCATCACATGAGGAAGAAGAGACCAGCACTTCTTCTTCAACAGCTTCAACTAACACAGAGTAGAATATGTGTGAAATTATTCTTTAACATTTAACGAAATTTCCCACATAGGAATTTTTAGTGTCCCAGTGGGAGAAACGCTATTGTGTGTATTATAAACAAATGATAAAAGATCCCAGCAATCTATGATAGGTCGGAAAAATGCACTTTCATCAGTCAATAAAAATAAAAGCTATCATATGGCTACTCTTCATAGCCTGAAAACATTTAGGTAACTTATTTCAATTTTTAGTTTACTATTTAGTCTTCTAAAAGAAAAAAAAACTTTTTTGGGTTATATCTTGTTGAGTCATTGGCCAAAGGTGTTTCATACAGTCCTCAAAATATCACAGACTACTACTGCCAAATCTACTCATTACTCTCCACGACCTACTGCTGAAAATACCCCTCACCTACTTTGTGAAATAATTCAAGGAGTGTTTACATTAGTGGTTCTTTAATGGTCTTGTAGAATTGTGCTGAATCCAGCTCTGGGACATTTTTTGCTGGGAAGTGGTGGTGGGAGATTTTTAGGTACTGCTTCTGTCTTAGTGAGGGGTTATGAGTCTATTAACTGTTTAACTTTTATAGATCATTTATATCAAGAAATTAATCTATTTCCAGTTTTGTAGAATGCAGATTTTTAAATTAAATCTTAATGATTCTCTGGATTTCTTTAGTGTTTGTTTTAATGGCTCCTTTTTCATCTCTAATTTTATTAATTTGAATCTTCTTTCGTTATCTTTTGGTTAATTTGGCTAAAGATTTCTGATTCCTGTTGACTTTCTCAAAGAATCAAGTCTTCGTTTCATTGAGTCTTTGTATTTTATTATTGCTGCTGTTGCTTGTTTGTTTCAATTTCATTGATTTTAGCCCCGTGTTTATTTTTTCACATCTACTCTTTTTGGGTATCATTTCTTTGTGTTTTCCTAGAGATCTCAAGTGTGTCACTAAGTTACTATGATCAAATTTCTCCAGTTTTTGAAGTTGCCACTTAGGGCTACAAACTTGAGTCTTCAAACTGCTCTCATTGTGTCTCACTTGTTTGTGTAAGTTGTGTTTTTATTTTCATTTAATTCTAAAACATTTGTTTATTTTCTTATTGATTTCTGTCTTGAACTAATTTTCATTCAGTGGTTAGTTGTTCACCTTTTATGAATTGTAAAATTTCTCTCTATTGTTCATATCCAGCTTTAATCTATGATGGTCAGATAAAATGTACAGTGTTATTTCAGTTTTTAAAAAGCTGTTGGGTGTTTGTCTGTGCCCTAATCTGCAGTCAATTTTGGAAAAAGATCCATAGGCTTCTGAGAAAAAAAAGGATAATTCTTCAGTGTTTGGGTGGAATGTTCTATAGATTCTGTTAGGTTGATTTAAGACAATAATTATCCTAGCATTTCTCTGTTTGGTTTTTGTCTAGATTACTTGTTTATCAGCAAAAACAGAATATGAAAGTCACCCACTGTCACTGTGTAAGGGTCAGGCTGTGATTTTAACTGTAGTCGTGTTTCTTTTATAGCTTGGGTGCCCTTGTATTTGGTGTATAAATGTTTAGGATTTCAATGTTCCTCTTGGTAGATTTTTTCTTTTGATGAGTATGTACTGTCCTTCCCAGTTCTTTCTGATTAGTTTTTGTTTGAAGTCTGTTTGTTTTAACAGACATTAAAATGGCTACACCTTCATACTTCCTGGGTTCATTTGCTTGAATTATTCTTTTCCTTCCTTTTCCCCTAAAGCATATGTCTATCCTTGTTGGTAAGGTATGTTTCTTGGATGCAGCAGAAGATGGATTCTGGACTGAGACCATTAATGTTGGGCAGAACTCATGAAAAATGCTTATTAACTTCCATCCTTTTTGTTGTGATGGTGTGGGTTTTCACCCTCCCCTTTTTATCTAGTTAGCAGTTCTGGAATTATGTATTTCTTGTGTCCTGTTGAGTGTAGTTAGACCTCTCTTCAGACTAAATATTTCCTTCTAGCGTCTTCTGTAGAGCTGCATGAACGGATAGATTGCTGAATATTTTTTAACCATGAAATGTTTTTCTCTCTCCATCAGTTGTGATTGAGACTTTTCTGTGTATAGTAGTCTGGGCTGGCACCTATGGTCTCTTAGAGATGGTAGAACATCTGTCCAGGTCTTTCGGGCTTTCAGAGTCTCCACTGAGTAGTCAGGTATTATTCTAATGGGTCTGTTTTTATATGTAACCTGTTCTTTCCCTTTCAGTTCTTTAATATCCTTTCTTTATTCTGTATATTAGTGCTTTGACTACCATGTGTCGCGTATTTTTTTTTTTTCTGAGCCCACCTATTTGGTATTTTGTATGTTTCTTGTAACTTGATGGCACCTTCTTTTTTTAAATGGGGGAATTTTCTTCGATGATTTTGTTAAAAATATTTTCTGTGCTTTTGACTTAGGTTTCTTCTCCTTTCTCTATACCGTTCATTCACAGATGCTGTTGTTTTATACTGTCCCAAATTTCCTGAGTGTTTCATGTCTGGGTCGTTTTTTAGTTTTAACATTTTCTTTAACAAACTGGCCATTTTTCCTATCATGTGTTCAACATCTGAAACTCTTTCTTCCATGTTTCTTAATCTGAAGTTTTTGTTTGACAAGTTGTTTTCTATTCTTCTTTTCATTTCAGTTTGGGTTTTTCTTTATGGATTCTAATTGCTTGTTAGATTCTTCTCTCATCTTGAATTATTTTCAATATTCAATGTTTGTGCTTTCACAATCTTCATTAAGGCTTTTATTTATATCCTCTTTGGGTCTTCAAATATGTTCATATTTTCTAGCTTGAAATCCTTTTCTTGTGTTTCAGCTAAATTGCTTTTCTCATGGCCTCACAAAACAAGGTTGCTGGATTCATATGGTCGGGGTTGCTCAGGTTTGTGATTTTGCAGTGGATGCAGTCATCTGGAGTTCTGATATTTGAATTGTTTTTTAGTGTAGAGAACTGGTCTTGTCTTTGTTGGGAAGGCAGTTCATCATTTGGTTGTTGTTGCCCACTCTGAGTCTTATCCAAGTGTGGTCCATGTGGGGTTCCAGATAGATGAGTTAGAAATAAAATGGGCAGGGGAGTACTGGGGGAACCCTGGGTCCACATAAAAAGACCAAGCCCCTAGGGGATGGAAATGGGTTTGGAGGAGGGCCTTTTACAAGCAGATCTCGCCAAGGCTAATGGTTAAGTCTGGAGAGACAGGAGTAAGTTTGTTCTGTGTTGTGTTGTTTCACTTTTAAGACAGGTTCTGACTCTATAGACTAGGCCATTTTTGAACTTGTGTTCCTCCTGCCTGAGTGTACTAAAACCTGGCTTACAGGTATACCCCACAATGTCCATCTAAGACTACTCATTATTTGTTCTATTTCTTTTTATTTGTTTTTGTTTGTATTTATGTTTGACCACATGGCCTGGTACATGATTGACAAGAATTCTCCCACTAATCTATATCCCCTAGGCTGGTTGATTTTTAAAGTTCTAAAATAAATTTGCATGTATATGTGTGTGAACATGTGCATTTGTACCCTTGGAAACCAGAAAAGGATGCTGAATTCCCTGGAACCGGAGTAGCAGGCAGTGGTGAGCTGACCAGCATGGGTGCTGGGAAATCAAACTCCAGCCCTCTGGAGAAACAGTTTTACTGAAACTAGTTCCTTTGTTTTTGCCGAGTAACGATCCAACTCATGGAATCCTCCGTGCCTGTATGTTTTCATTGGTATCTCTCAATTACGAAGCACCTACCCCTTTTCATTCTGTTTTGTCACATGGAGAAAGGGAGTCTCCAAGTTTCATGTCTTTATTATTAGCCCTTCCTAGCAGAATGTTCCCATAGGGAAGTCAGAGGTGGGCTGGAAGCCTGGGAGAACTGTTTGATTGGAGTTGCTGCCAGCATTAGCCCAGTCTCAACTCTCGTCTCGGGAGCACCAGCAGGTTTTAGGATCTGAACACGGTTATATGTTCATTATCTATCCCCCACATTAACAGTGTTGTCAGCTTTAGGGATCCAGAACAGTATCAAACTACTTAACCCCACAGCTGTGAGTACCAAATGTTTGAATTCTCTGTGAAATTCTGGAGGTAAGATAACCATGTCTTCTCCTTCAATATCTGGACCTTAGAATAGTGGGATGAACTACAGCACTCTGTATTTGAGTATTTCCAAGCTCTTCCTTTTGACCTCCAGTCACAGTGGTGAGAAAAATGCTTTTTATTTACTAACTTATGATTAACTCAGTGGTGTTCTTCATTAGGACATTGAACTCTGTGTGATTCAGAACATACCTTGGTAAAATTCCTCAGAGAATTTTCTTACTGCCCATTAGATCTTGGGGACATGATTTAGACGTAGGTAGAATTCCTTCACAATCAGGCCACACAATTGCTGTCACTTGTGCTTTTAAAATAGGCATGTCAATGTACTTAAAGAACCTTCTGTTGGATGGTGTAAGTATTATTGAATCATGTTTTCTCCTCAAGTAAAATCCCCAACTCTTAATCAAACTTTAAACAACTGTATTGCAAAGGTGGGAGAGAACTATGATCAAATGGATGACCAAATAAACTTATATTTATATATAGAAAACCTACTTGATTTTTAACTTGTGTTTGTCCAGAAGCTCGAGAAATACACAGGGAATCTTTAGATGGTAGAGATCGTACTAGTGTTTTACACTGCTGTGACAAAATCCTTGAAAAAGTAATCTTAAATGTCTGGGATATAGCTTGCTAGTAGAGCAGCTTTTCAGTACTCACACGGCCCTGAGTTCCAACCGCACCACCACAGAAATAAATGTAAAGAAAGAAGGATTCAGCAATCAGGACTTATCTTCAAACCTCAGCAAAGCAGGGAAGAGCAACAGCAGTGACCTATATTGTTTGGGAAGTCTCATGATTACGCTTGACCAACAGCTCAGTAGAGAGTTTCTCATGCCTAGTACTGTGGTTTTTATTTGTCTATAACTCTTACTGGGAACACTGTCACCGTAAGTGGAATAACTTGGCTTAAACTATACAAACACACACACACACACACACACACACACACACTCACACACACACAGCACACATCAATTTGTATTCCTTCCGAGTGCTAAGGGTCCCCCTTTCCCCACATCCTCTCCAGCATTTGTGTGGCTGATCTGTGACATTCTGACTGGGGTAAAATAAAATCTCAAAGTTGTTTTTGTTTGAATTTACCTCATTGACAAGGATGACAAAAAATTTTGAGA